TCTTTAGGACAGTTTTTTAAGTACTAAAAAATCATTTTTAAGTTACAGAGAAAGAAAGCTCGGTCCCACAATAAGTCGTATTCTACAGTTCTGCTTCTATTTGGTCCGATTAAAAAATCGGCAAATGTAAGAGGGGAAGAAAAAATTCAAACTGCCTGTGTAATATAAGAATCGATAAATCATCAGACCATGGTGTACATAGGTATTTAACTTACAATGAGATCTCGCACCTCGTCGAAATCAAGGAACATACACGTGTACTCTCTCTTAAACCATAGCATCTCTCTTCTTCGCAGACTAAACAGCATCAGAAATAATCTTTACCGCCTATCCATCTAGCTCCTCTGAGATGTGTCGTCTATAAGAAGACCATATATCTCGCACGATAGACGCTACCTCAAGCCGACCAATAGTTGCTATGGCTAGATATAGCCTGTCATCGGTGCTCCGTTCGTGTCCGTTACATACCACATAGCCAGCGACTCCATCTATGTAATAAACGCGAGTTCTCCGTCATCTGTCGCGTGCGCTTGCGCAGCGCACGGTAGATAGCTTTACGCCAGAGTGCTGTAGTGGGGGCTCTATGCCAGAATCGGCCTTCAGCGTGATCTATTCCCTATAGGCCGCCTCGTAGAGACTCTCTAAAATAAGTCTGACCTCTAACGTCCCTGCTTTGACTCTTTAGTTCATTGATTACAAGATTTTTAGGCAATTGTCCCATCCTAAAAAGTTTTAAAATACTATTAGTCTTTAAGTATTACAACCTAACATAATTAAGCACATTATGAGCAGCCTGATAAGCTCACTACTGCTGCAGCTCTCGCGCGACTACGTCCGTACTGAGTCACGAATACAAATGCTGCATCAACCGTGAATACTACTCAATGTGGAGATACGGGCCGTGCTCCGCAACACATCGTCCCTCTACCCTCGCGCTCGCCCGCGCGTAAGGGGTGCTGCCCCTTTTACCCCGCGACCTCACCGGCAGGTTGAATCCGCCAGGGGACCTCTCCCTCTGAACTCCGACATATTACGAAGCGTACAACGCATGAACTCAAATAGGGGTGACAGGCAGCGCCCTCGAATAATTTTGGTGTAGGTTATTTATAGGAAAACTTTACTTCTGCTAATAAGTATGACCCCCTCGTGAAAATTAAGGCTGGATCCGCCCTTGTAATTTGAAATTGCATCATAGTTTGAAGAAAGAAAGATATTATCCTAATGTGCTACAGAAGCAGACAGAAGCAGCGTATGCCCGCAATCATTCAAAGGAAATTCCAATCACTTATACTCCTTAAATACAAATATGACACCAGTTGTGGACCCACATAATTTGAACGGTGTGCTATGATAGGATGCAGAAGGCAAAAGTGGCTCCAATAATCTCATCTACTGTGTTTCGGGAAAGGACGGCGAACAGAGACAGAACAATGAAAGTTGGAAAGGTAATTTTCATTAATTTGTCTAGAGGATACAATGTAGTATATATAGAAAAAGCTAAAGTAAAGAAAGTACACAAGGTGGCTACAGGTACATAAGAAACAAATAGTATGGAGGGAAGCCCGTTGAGTGTGTAGTGGATAACATCTTCAACTTCTACGGGTGCACCTGCGGCGGCTAGAGCGTCGACTTTGGATTTCACATCGAGGAGATATTGTGTCATCGATTTGTCTTTCATATTGAGATAATGAAGTTCGTTCTTGAGCTGTGAGATTCTTGATCGGGTTGAAGATTGCAGTCGGCTATCAAGAATCTTCCAAACTTCGCTACAGTGGTCGGCAGAGAGTACGTATGGAAGGATGGAAGGTGAAATGACAGAGTATAATGCGGCTGCTAGGTTTTGATCTAATAAAAGCCAGTGAGTGTGATCGGGATTTGTGGATTGGGAACCGGTGATGGTCGATGTAATAGGTGGCGGGCATAAAGCAGATCCGGTCAAGAACCCTTCAAAGCTATTTGCTCTGAAGAGCTTGATGACTTGGGATCTCCATAGTGAGTGATTATCTGCCGTTAAGGGTTGAGAGATGACATTCTTGATGTTGTGCATCAAGAATTTCAGAGAAGATGGAATTTGTGGGGAGGAGAGAGTACCTTCGGCGGTGGAGTATTCCGCTTGGGTGGAGGAGGAGGAAGTGTCTGTGTGAGTAGTCATTTGGAAAGGGAAAGAGGAGGAGTAGGGGACCGGTACCTAGTCTTCTGATACCATGTAGAATAAGCTAAGCCTGTGAAGGCTTTCGGGAAAGGACGGCGAACAGAGATAGAACAATGAAAGTTGGAAAGGTAATTTTCATTAATTTGTCTAGAGGATACAATGTAGTATATATAGAAAAAGCTAAAGTAAAGAAAGTACACAAGGTGGCTACAGGTACATAAGAAACAAATAGTAGTACGCCACGTGGATATGTAGCTAACATCTCATAGGTGCAATCACCTATAGTTAATTAATTACCTCTCCCGATGACGAGAGATCACTTTCGGCTAAGGCTAGTCATGAAATATGTATAAAATACCTAGCATATTGTAATAGCATGTAAATTTTTTAGAATTATAACATTTATTATTTTTATACTTAAAGCGCATGGTGGGGGAATAATGACAAACCCAATCAAGGTCTCGTGGTTCCATCATCGCGGGCCGTCATTGTCCCTAGTATTCTTAGTCATATGAGGTAGTCGACCTAACCTGACCCAAGGATTCTTATCAGCAATTATGGTTTGCTTCCTCCAAAAGGTACCTTGTAGACTTAGGGTAGATGTTTATTTAAGGAGATAAATTTTAGTCAACATTAGCTAATAGAAAGCTTTATGCCTTATTAACTGCACCCTGTGACTCATTATTCACGAGACTTTTAACCATTGGGGAATATGCGAGCTTTGATCTTAATTGTGATAGTGTGTTATTTTGCAGCAAAATCACACGGTTAGTTGGAACATTCTATGTCCCCATTGGCGAGAAATCATTTGAGAATGAATCATAGTGATACATTCAATTAGATATTTTGCTCTTTGTTAACTAATGTTATGATAAATTTATCATCCTTAATAAACATTTGTAGATGATGGATGGATTTTTGCTTTAAACATTTTGGTGATGATTTCAATTTTAAATATTTTGATCTTTTATATTTTTTTTCGGAAATTTGAATACCATACATTTGAGAATTTGGGAGTCATTTGAAAATTTGGGAATCCCCTCTGGATGAGATTAGCTTTCAATACGACCATCATCGAAGATTTAAATAGCTTGTATTTTTGTTATTTAAACCGTGTTAATTCTATTCTCATGCTAATAGAAGATTGAGTTTAGTATCAATTTTAATGCTTTTAGAAGTGGATATTTCTTTTAATAGACTTTGAAGGCCTAATATGAATTTATAAAATCAAATACTTTGGTCAGCACTACGATAGTGTATTTGTTCATAGTTCAAGTCGTGTCAACTCCAGTTCATTCGAACACGAGGATTAGACTTGAACTTTTGTTCATTTTTAACCCGTGCAACATTTTCTGACTTTATATTTATCTGTTTAGTGCTTTTTGTCGGCACATATGCAAGGTTTTAAAATTCTTATTAAATTAATGTGCACGTTTCTCAAGATGGGGACTCACTTTTGATTTTTTTTTTTTTACTTTGTAGATTATTTTTATCATTTCGTGTTGCTATCGGGCACATGTTTTTCCACAAAATATATGTATATTTTTTAAATTTGTTCTACAAAATTCTTATAATTTTCTTTCATTTTTCATTCTTAACACGTTTTAGAACGGTCTGGCTTTGGAGTCTTCAATCCTCTCTCTTTCAAATCACAACGTTGTCAAAGTCATCCATTTAGAATATTTAGCTAGAAAATTCTCCTTACTAGAGTATCCTTCATACAAAACTCGCAAGCTCCATTTAGCAGATTAGGAGGGCAAGGAAAGAAAAAAAAAGGTCAGCTCGCAATTCCGAATTCATTGGCTTTGAAGCTTTTCTTGAGTTTTCACTCTTGCATCTGATAGCAAGTAAAAGAAAATTAAAGAAGTGTATAATCGGAATATTTACATCCAACTGAACCAGTCTTGTAACATGGTCAAGATCAGACGTGATTAAGATTTCATTTGAGACAGTTTTCGGCCACAGTGTTTTTTCTATTGAAAAAGCCGTCCCAAATAAAATCTAAATGACAGTGTTAAATTATAGGCTTGACGATGTAATCATGCCAAAAGGCAACAGCCCTTGCCCAATTTCTCACATAAACTATAAAGAGAGAGAGAGAGAGAGAGCGAGCTTAAATATTAAAAGGAATTAATATGTTTAGGATGCTAGTAGGTTGCTGGACTAAGCTTTTTGTGTTTTATTTCCTAGACAAAGGAATCTGAAAAAAATGTAAAGACGTTGACACTTGATATTTGATGCTTGAGCATCTTCTATTTCTACTAAGAGTATCGCTATTCAATTCGAAGGTTGTAGTTAGAGGATTGGCCTATTCTTCCATATCCAATAAACTACATTTTGTTCATCTTAATTACGAGATAATTATAGGTGTGTAAATCAACTGTTTTTTTTCTGTATTTGCTTAATGTAGTTCTTAATTAATACAAATACAATATGAACATTGAATATTACAGACTCAAAATACTAAACTAGTGCAACAAGTACTTGTTCTCTGCTCTCACCAAAATTTTTAGAGAAGAATTGCTTTTATGCAGAAAATTTGATTTCAATAATTAGAAAGTTTTCTTTAGTTTTACTTCGAAGGGCAAATTGAACTGCCATTTCCATCTGAACAAGCCTTGCCGCCCTGTTTCCTTTCAAGGGTTAAATAGCAGAGCTTATTCTGAAGAAGGGCACCTCCACTTTCCAGCCTCTTAGACTTCGTTTGGGATGACTTTCTTCTTTCTTTTTAAAACATCTTTTTAGTACAAAAAATTATTTTAAGAAACAAAAAGAAAGTTGTCCCAAACGAAACCTTATCCTGCAATTCTGCTTCGTATTTTTCATTAAAAAATGGAAAATCTAGAGGGAAAAGAAAAATTCAAACTGCCTTGTATATATAGCATCATAATCATCAACCATGTGTACATAGTATTTCAAACTACAATTGAGAACTCAGCATCCTCTCTGAAATCAAGGAAACATACACATAAAACAACATTAAAGATCTCTTCAAGCCTACCAACAAAACTACATACATGCTCTAATAAATGCGTTTCATTAGTTGGAGCAAATTGAAGAGCATTCATAGAGCTGACACCGAGAAATTGGAAGACAATGTTGTTAAACCTTCTTGCTTGTCTCAAAAACAAGTGCACCTGCAAGATGACACCAAACATAAGATCTCATATTTATGAATATGGGCGGATCTACCTTAAGGCAAATTGCCTCCCTGAAAAAATAAAAAAAAAAATTCTTTATTATATGATTCTTTAGGTAATTTATCCCCATCTATGTATTTTTTAGTCTTTATTACAAGAGGTTTTAAGCAATTGCTCCACCCTAAAAGTTTTAAAATACTATGGTCTTTAGGTAAATACCCTAACATAATTAAGCATATTGTGTAGAGATGTTATTGTTAGCGAACAATGAACCAAATACAAAGAGGAATAGTATAGAGAATCCAAAAATATACTTCCAACCCCCGCAGGGGTGCTGCCCCTTGACCACGCGACCTCACTGGGCAGGTTGAACCCCGCCAGGGGATCCTGCTCCCTTGAACTCCCGACATATCTACGAAGCGTACAACGATGAACAAATAGGGGTTGACAGGCAGAGCCCTCGGAATAAATTTTGGTTGTAAGGTTATTTATGGAAAAAAAAAATATACTTTTGCTAATAAGTTTGACCCCCCTGGTGAAAATTTGAACTCGCTGCCATTCTCCAATCGTGGCTCTGATACCAATGATAGAAGAAAAAAAAAAAGGAACGCAGAAAAAATGGAAGAGAAAAACTCAAAAGAAAATTTTTTTTCTTCACTAGACGTCTTCACAGGAACAAAAAACAGAGCAAAAATGAAACCCTTAAGTCTTTCACGGGATAACACACACCTCTTCGGAATGGACTCATACACTTTTAAAACACTTAATAAAAACAGTTTTTTTAACCGTCCAATAATTAAAAATAAAATAAAAATCTAAAATGACGCATTGTTTGGGTTTGAAATATCCAACACACTTTCCAGCCTCTTAGGTTTCATTGGGGATGACTTTTTTTTCTGCTTCTTAAGACAACTTTTTAATACTAAAAAGTTGTTCTAATAAGCAAAAAGAAAGTTGTCCAAACCGAAGCCTTATTCTGCAGTTCTGCTTCTTATTTTTCATTAAAAAATGAAAAATCTAGAGGGAAAAGAAAAATTCAAACTGACTTGTATATATAGCATCATAATCATCAACCATGTGTACATAGTATTTCAAGCTACAATTGAGAACTCAGCATCCTCTCTGAAATCAAGAAAACATACACATAAAACAACATCAAAGATCTCTTCAAGCCTACCAACAAAACTACATACATGCTCTAATGAATGCGTTTCATTAGTTGGAGCAAATTGAAGAACATTCATAGAGCTGACACCGAGCAATTGGAAGACAATGTTGTTAAACCTTCTTGCTTGTCTCAAAAACAAGTGCACCTGCAAGATGACACCAAACATAAGATCTCATATTTATGAATATGGGCGGATCTACCTTAAGGCAAATTGCCCCCCTGAAAAAATAAAAAAATTCTTTATTATATGATTCTTTAGGTAATTTATCCCACTCTATGTACTCTTTAGTCTTTATTACAAGAGTTTTTAGGCAATTGTCCCATCCTAAAAGTTTTAAAATATTATAGTCTTTAAGTAACTACCCTAACATAATTAAGCACATTGTGTAGAGATGTTATTGTTAGGGAACGATGGACCAAATACAAAGAAAAATAGTACATAGAATCCAAAAATATCCTTCCAACCCCCGCAGGGGTGCTGCCCCTTGACCCCGCGACCTCACCGGGCAGGTTGAACCCCGCCAGGGGATCCTGCTCCCTTGAACTCCCGACATATCTACGAAGCGTACAACGATGAACAAATAGGGGTTGACAGGCAGCGCCCTCGGAATAAATTTTGGTTGTAAGGTTATTTATGGAAAAAAAAAATATACTTTTGCTAATAAGTTTGACCCCCCTGGTGAAAATTAAGGCTAGATCCGCCCCTGTAATTATGAAATTGCATCATAGTTTGAAGAAAGAAAAAGATATTATCACCTAATGTTGGCATCAGAAGAGACAGAGCAGCAGTGCCCGCAATCTTCAAAGGAATTCCAATCTTGATCATATCCTTAATCTCAATATGCCCAGTTGTGAACCCCACTATATTTGAAGGTGTGCTTGTAGGTAGCAAGAAGGCAAATTGTGCTCCTATAGCTCCTGGGATCATCAATAGAAGAGGATGCACTTTCATTGATTGAGCCAGCTCAATAAGAAGAGGAACAACCAGTGTCGTTGTGGCATTATTTGTGGTAAATTCAGTGACAGTTCCGCTCACTAGGCAAGCAAGTGGCGCCATAGCGAGGTATGGCGCAGCCTCCAGGAACTTGAGGTTTTCAGAGAGCACATCTGTAAGGCCACTTGTCCTCACCCCATCAGCAATTGCAAAGCCTGCACCTAAGAGAAGTACGATGTTCCAATGCAATTTCTTGCATTTGTTCCAGTCCATGAGTTTCTCTCCCTCGTTTTTCTTGTTTGGAATGACAAAAAGCAATGTGGCCATCATCACCTGCTTCAAATTATGTTTTGTGGATTTACTCTTTCTATTCAAATCAAATATTTAGAGAAAATATTTCAATTTTTTTTTTCACTTACACTAACGGTTCCATCTCCTACTCTTCCATGAAAGAGGGCTCCCCAGCCTGGTACATCATTTGTTATGCTTCTGGTCATCCATAGGAACACTAGAGCCTGAAATTCTCCAAAAAGATCAAAAGTTTAGTATGGCAAAAAAAAAAAAAAAGTGATTGAACATTATTTATTTTTGATATTTTTCTTTCAAATTATCACAGAAAGCAAAAATTTTAATCAAACTTTGAATCATGTATTTAATTTTACAGAAGGGTGAGTAATGGTTAAAAAAAGTTTTTAAGCTATGCAAACATTAATCATAATTTAAATACTATAAATTAAAACATAAAAAACTTTTATTATTAGTTTAAATTCATGACTTTAATGAGCCAAAAAGAATCCTGAATTTTGGAGTACAGTACCCCAAACACTGCCAGAACCATTTTCTCAGCAAAAGCCATAGGTCCTGCAACAGAACAAAGCAACTCTGTAAAATTTCGGTTTAAACGTCAAGATAAACACTCAAAAAGTAGAAAATTCAGATCAAACCAGAAATTTGAAACATACCTAAAGATTCAAGCTCTCTTTTCAAATGTTCTTTGTCCAAGTAAGATGAAAGCACCTTAGCAGAGCCCTTTGAGCAATAAAACAAACATAGAATCGCCCACAATGCAAAGAAAATGAGCAGAGCTAATGGGAAGCCAAATAGAAACCAAGAGCTAAAGCTAATAGGCTTCTCCTGAGGGAAGTAGCTCTCCCACATCCCTACTAGTATGAGATTTACTCCGGTGCCGGTCAGCGTGCTCATCCCACCGACCGCCACCGCATATATAACGCCCAGTATCACCGCCTTGCAAAACTTCCTCACATCAGGATGAACGTCCTCGCCGGTCGGAAACCGCTGCAGAATACCGGTGGCCACCGGAATCATCATCACTGCCGCCGGGGTGTTGTGCATCCACATACTCACAAAAGCTGATGTGCTACATATCCCCAACAGTAGGAGAGGAGGATTCACAGGATCTCCACAGAAAAATGAAGTTATCTGCAAAATGAACGAAGATGTCTCCTTTTATGCGAGTTTTAATTTGTAGTAAGAACTTGAAATGGTTATAAAAATTTCTGTAAGAAGACTACTATAGATTGAATCATACATTGAGGGCGAGGCGTCTGTGGATGTTGTAGTGTTCAACTGCTAATGCAAGGATGAAGCTGCCAAGCACAAGGGCTATAATATCATCCATATAGGACTTGGCTACTTCGTCGGCCTTGGCGAGGCCAAAGAGAGGGAAGAGAAAGAGAGGGGCCATGGAGGTGACAGCCATGGGAACAGCGCCAGTTAGCCACCAAAGGAAGACCCAGGCGAGTACAGCCAGCATGTTGCGGCTAGATTGCCGGCCAGGGCCGAGGTCGACGAAGAAGAAGATGAGGAAGCATGACAAAGGTCCTAATAGTATGCAGATGTTGTTTTTGTTGAGGATTGATTTGAAGGAGTTGTTGGAGTTATCAGGAAGCTTTTGCAGGGGGAGCAGAGGAGCTTTTGGGTCATCTATGGTAGATTGGTCCGCCATTGGAGAGCTCACTTGATTGCTTTCAGAAATGGTGGTTAAATGTTTGGTGTGTTCCGAATGTGTAAGTAGGCAAAAATGAACCAAAGTTTCGGCTACTTATATATAATATTTTTGCTTTCTTGCCGAGTACAGCAGAATAGTAGAGCACCACATAATACGAAGGCTTAAAATATATCTTTACCTGGAGGAGGGCACATGCAGAGCTGGCGTATTGAATGGCTAAGGATAGGCCAGCGATGTAAATGAGTTTATTGCAGTTTTTTATTTTATTATTATTATTATTATTATTATTATTATAATTCTTAAGAATTTATTGCAGTTGAGTTGAAGCTGACACACCGAAATGAAGCTCCAACTCATTTTCAATTGAGTAAGTTCATTATATGAAAGCCACAAAAAAGAAGGTCAATTTAAAACGTATAAATTATAGATAAGAGCATTAATGAATGACTTGATCGTTAGTTTTGTAAAAAAATTGATTGTGTCGATCAATTAAGTTGTACTGCTGACTCAAAACTTAATTTTTTTCTATACAGTTGTACAATATTATGATGTTGTAGTCGCTAGTTGGAGATAGAGGGCAAAATGTTGTGGCATTGTAAGTTGCAGTGCGTCAATGCTGCAAGGAGGCTCAGAGACAGTGGAGTGCCATGAATCTCCAAACTGGGTGTATCGGCGTTGCTGGTGAGGCTATTTAGTTTTATTTCTCGTTTTTAATGTTTAACTTAAAGGGTTGCGCCATTTGGTGTGGTTAATATGTCTTGAATGAGATTGTTGTGTGAAGACTGAAGAGAGACGATGAGTGAGTGAGAGAGAGAAATATGTACAAATTCACCAAATTTTTATAATGGATTTCTTTGTTATTTCACTATATTTTCTCTTTTTTGTTTGTATTTGCTGTGTAATTTTATTCCTAACATTGATACAATCCTGAATGAAAAATTTTGATTCGGGCTAATCAGAATAACACATGAGTCTACTTTAGATAAAAAAATATCAACCAAATTTACATTCGAGTTGGGTCAACCTTAATTTCGACCAGCATCATAAAAAAGGTCGAATTTGTATCATATAATTTCTGATTGGATCAAATTCAAGTTAGACCTGAATGAAATTTTTTAATCTGGATTGACACATCTATATATAAAATCATGAAGAAATGAAAGAATAGAAAAAAAAAAATTAGGACATAAAAATAAGCCAATTCCAACTACTCAAAACTAACTTTATGAATCCTCATTTTACTGCAATAATTTATAATTAAAATTTTGAATAATGATATTTATAATTCTATTTTATTTTAATAATTTTAGGATAATATAAGTCAAGCAGAGATTACTCAAAAAATAATTTATCACCTCAATAAAATCTGGCTCATAAATCATTAATTACCGAGTCAAAATAGAGTTTCCTCACGTGAAGAACTCGTTAACTCTATTTAATAATTCTCTAACATAGACCAAAACGCATCAATCATTCTCGCTACAGAGGAGCTCCAATAATTCACAGAAGAACTGCTTAAGAATCGACATCAGCAGGTATTCTGAAAACTAATTGCAGAAATCTACAATTAACAGTTCTTCCTTTCATATTTGCTCCGCGAAAAAGAAAATTCCTTTTCTTCTAAGTTGCCTTTCGTGCTGCGGATGGCAACTCAGCTCCAGAAAATTCAATAAATTAGAAGTCTTTCGATAAGCTGGAAGCTTCGGTGGCAACAAGAGCCAAATGTCTGACTTGGATTGATAACGAGCGTAATCGCTTCAGATGGAGAGATGTTTAGGTGTCAAATATGTATAATTTTTTTTTAATTTCTCTATGTGATGATGTTGCAATGTTGAATTCTCTCTCTTTAAATTTATTAGTATTTCATTGCTGGATCGCTTATCCCAAATAAATTGGGGGACTTATCCCAATGTTTTAATAAAAAATGAAAATTCTTATAAGGAATAATAATTACAATCATTTAAAAACTAAAAAGGGATGTAACTCATCTTAATATGTTGGTTGGGAGCTATAATTGTCAAAAAAGAAAATACAACAAATAAAAATATCCTTAATAAAAATGATATATTGTAATACTGCTAAGAGAACACTTTAACACCCAAGTGTTCTTTATACCACCCAATATATTAATATATTGCCTAAGTTTTGAGCTTATACACCCAACAAAAATAATTATAGTTTTAGGTTCGTTTGGGATAATTTTCTTATTGTTTTTTTTAAAATAGGTTTCTAGTACAAATTTTAATTCAAAAAAATTTGTACTAAAAAACTAATTGAAAAAACGATATGAAATTGTCCCAAATAAATCAATATTAAAGATTTTAAGTTTTAAATATATATATTTTTTCCAGTAAAAAGAGTGCTTTAGCTATAACCTGATGTCATGCAGACATTATTCTCTACGGTCTCCGAATGGTACAGAGTTGAATAAGAATGCGCCGCATCACCCGGTACTGAGTGGTACACAGCAACCATAAACAACAAAAAAATGACATAGCGTGTTCTCATTCGTCCACCATTCGGTGACCGCATAGAATAATTTCTTGCTGTCAAAGGGGTCAAAACTTCCTTTTTAAGGGCTGAGACACAAAAAGGTTGTGAATTGTATCTAAAAATGGGGTAAAAAAAAAAGATAAAATTTAATAATTTATTTGGCTTACGTATATGAGTTTATCTTTGGAGGTGTTGGGGCAGCCGTAGGAGAAGGAGAGGATGTAGTGAAAATTATAAAATTTCGAAGTACCAATAGCTCCAGAATACTATCATAGAAAAAGGAATCAATATGAACAAGTTCAAACTTAGACATATTATGAAGATTTGATGTAGTGGATCGGCGGAAGACGACACCTGCAAGAAGGATTTCAAAGAGTTCCCAATCCAGGGAAGAAGAAGAACAAGCTTTCTAAGCTTCAAAGAGAGTAATATGTCATTAATGCCTTCCCCCTTACAAAATCTCCTCTTTATAAAGCAAAAAGAGGATTCTAGAAACTAGTACTAATAACTAGATAAGATATTCCTAAGGAGAACTATTTGCTTAAAATGCTCCGCATCA